ACGCACGATCTTCATCGGGTAATCTAATCCTTTCTCACGCTCCCCTTGGTTATGTCCGACTCCCTCGGTAACTGCCATGGGAAATAATAGATTCGGAGCTTCCAATGGCAGAGCGGCTGGAAAACTGTTCTTTCCTTCGGAATTGTCTTTTAAATTGCTGGGCCACGAGCCGGGATCTGTACTCAGGATTGGCCTTTTCGCCCTTGTTGATACGCCACCGTGCCGCTGTGCACGGAGTGGGCATGTCCTCAGGTCCTCTCACTACCCTTCCGGGCCTCAGTCGCCACTCCTGCAGAGCTCTTCAGGGGTCCGGACCCCTCGGCCAAAATCTTATGGGGCTTGTCGCGGCTTGTCTGGGGCGTGGTGCGTCTTCTCGAGCGACTGTTTTGGGCCCAAGAGGGCCCAAAGACGGGCCAGGAGGGCTCCCGAGAGGTCTCCAAGACAACCCCTGACGGCCTAGAGTCGCCGAGCGATCGCTCCAAGACGCCCAAGATGGCTTCCAGACGGTCCAAGAGGCCTCCAAGACGCCCGAAGATGTTTCCAAGAGGCCTCCCAAGAGGTCCCCAAGAGGCCACAATCATTGGTTTTCCTGAGGTTTATGAAGGATGTTGGTGTTCTTTCTCGACTTCTCGACTCCCCGACGCTCCCAGACGGCTCCGGAGGCCCCAAGACCACCCAAGACGGCCTCCAAGAGGGCCCCAAAACGGCCCAAGAGGGCCCCAAGACGGCCCAAAATGCGACCAAGACGGCCGAAGAGAGCCCCAAGTCGGCTCCAAGAGGGGCCCTCAGGAGCTCCCGAGCGAAGTGAACCCCACCCTCCCCCTCAGAAATCGTGGGGGGTAGGGGTAGGGTTCGCAAATGGCCCCCTACCCGAACCCCCACTGAATCTTGGCGGCCAGGCTGGGGTGATGCGGGAGGGGGCGAGCCTTCTCTCAGAGAAGGCTCGGAGGCCCCCCGATCTTCTGAGAAGCTTCTTGGAAGCCTTCCCCGGAGACGCAGACGAGGCTTCTCCGAAGGCCCCAGGGCTTCTGAGAAGCCCCGCCGCCATCTGAGAAGGCCTCCTCCTTCTCGCTTCCCCACCTCGCTCGCCGCCGAGACTCACCACGCGGTGTGGTCACCGCTCGGTACAGTCGACCCGTATCATACTGATGCACGATAAGGATGCAAGGGCCTTGGAAGGCCATTTCGAAGCTTTCCGAGCGGGGGCGCGGCCAGCGAGAGTGGCCAAGGATGGACCGAGGAGGCCAGGATGCAAAGGTACTCTGGGGAAAGTCGCGCATCCTTACTGTGAGGGCTGACCGCAGGGGAAATCCCCGACCGCTGCCGAGGCGCCTGGTGCTCACAGCTCATCTCGGGCCGCCTCTCGAGATCCCCACTCTGGCCATCGCTCGGACGTCCATTCCCTGTGTTTTTTTCGGTCTCGTGCGTGTTTTTTTCGCCAAGTGATCAAGGATGCTCCTCGATCGTCCTCGCCGAAGGAAAAATGCACACGTCCGAGCGATGCCAAGCACTGGAGGCGTGCAAGGAGGCCAGGCACCGCGAGGGAGCAGGCCGGCCGGGGGCTCGAGGCTCTGCCCGTGACGCCGGCGGCCAGGTGGACCAAAGTGAGCCCAGGGACACACAGATGAATTGGCACAAATCCCAAGATTCCCCCTATTTTCCCGTGCGTTCTGGAATTTCGTCGTCCCCCCGACTTCCCATACTTTCCCGTATTATCCGCGGGATCGGCGATCAAGTGTGTCAGATTGTGTCTGTGTTGCTCCCATCCTGATAATCAGGTGGAGAACGACGAGGTCCCTCGCGCGCAGCGAGGGCCGAGCAGGAGGCGCACCACCTCGCCCGGGGCTGCGCTGTGTGGCCGGGAGGTCGACGCGGATCTGTCCGACGATCTTCCCAACGCGTGCTGGCGCCAGCGCGCGCGCCCACGGAAACCTTCACTGTGACGCAGACGGTGCAGCGATGGCCGACACGGGCGGCGTGCCGTCGGTGGAGCCGAAGGGGGCAAGTACGCATTGGGCGAACACACGTCTTTGAAGGGGCCCTGAGACACACAAATAAATACACACAAATAAAAGGATACCCCATATTTTCCCATATGTTCTGGGTTTCTGTCTTCCCCCCCACTGCCCATATTTTCCCAAATTTTCTCTGAGGGGAACGACGATTAACTGCGTCTGTGTGTGTTTTCCCCTCCTGAGTCTTGGGGATCATCGACCTATCCTCGACACGGGACGTTGGAGGTCCGGGTCGCCTGGACGCCTCTGCAAGAGGTCGTCCTGGAGGCTCCCCTAGGAGGCCCCCCCGAGGCCCCTGGAGGCCCAGAACTTCCCAACGGCTCGCTCGGTCATCGTTCCGAGATGTGGAGGTTTGGATCTGCTGGGTAATTAAGCAAGAGTCGCGCATCGCGCCCCGCGATGCGCCTTGCGCGGTCACCTTCGCGTCTCCGCGCCGCCGGCCTGGAGAACGACAGCTCTCTGGCCTAGCCCGCGATGCAGCCAACCCGTGTAATAAGGACGCGCGGTAAGAATACAAGGGCCTTGGAAGACCATGTCGAGACTTTGCGAGCGGGGCGCGGCCAGCGAAAGCGGACAAGGATGGGCCGAAGGGGAAGGATACAGGGGTAACCTTGGAAAGTCGCTCATCTTTCCTATGCGGGTGACTGTACCTGAAGCGCAACCATCTTCGTGCCCCTGGGGGCTTCCACAGAGGGACACCCAGCAGCCTTGGACCCTCTCTCAAGTCCGAGGTCGGGTCTGTGACGACTATCCCCGACCCTCCCTTGAAGGAACTCGGAGGGTCTGGCGGCAGCGGCGTTAGGGCTCCTCGCGCGCCACGAAGTCGCACAGGAAGCGCACCGCCTCTCGGGAAACACCAGCATGCACCGATACCGCCACCTGCCGTCGCTCGGACGTCCACTTCCCGTACATTTTTCGGTTTCGTGCGTGTTTTGTTTGCTCGATGGTCCAGGATGGTCCTCGATGGTTCTCGCCGAGAAAAATGCACACGTCCGAGCGATGCCAATGGTAAGCCCTGGTCTTCACACCTCTCCTGGGGTGCGTTCTGGCCGGGACTTCGAGGCGAATCCCGCCGTGGCGACGAGGGCTTCCCAGGAGGTCCGAAACGGCGAACACGAGAGAAGGGAAGGCTGCAGCGGTATCGGCACCCTGACTCCGGATCCGCCGTACTTCGGTTGATTTTCCCACTTTGAAGATTGTGTCGGAAATGCACCCCAAACGATGCGAAAACGTAAGGCGGAAATCTCCGCCCCAGACAAGTAGGGGGGAATATTTCTGCAAAGGTACGGCGGGAAACAGCGACGGCAAAGTGGGGCGGAAACCGACAGAAAAGGACCAAAGGAGCTCGAAGAGTAGGGCGGAAATGTCCGCCCTACTTGCGAGACCGCCCGAAACACGGCGGATCTGGGGTCAGGGTACCCTCGAGCCTGTTTTCACGATTCGCGATAACTCCCATGACCAGCCCCGACCCTCCTCCTCCCCCCTTGGCCACGTCACAATGCGCGCTGCCGCCGTGCGAGAACTAGCCATGCCAAGGCATCTTCAGACGGCGCCAGCGTTAAGTCGGGCCTGTCCTCCTGCAGAAGGATTTTGGAAGAAGAATAAACGCCAGCGCGAAAATCGTGGCGTGACCTGTCCCCTCCCCCCTCCCCGTCACGCCCGTGATCGCCAGGGAGCTACAGGAGGAGCTCCACCACAAGAAACCCAACCCTGAGACCCCAGGATGTCCATTGAGTTTTGGCGTGGGAACGTCACGCTCTCCATGGCAAAACCATCGAAGCCCAAGAAACCCAGGGCACCCTGGAGGCAAGCAGAGTGCTTCTTGGCATGGGTCCCCACTGTAAACGAAAACGATCTCCCCTTCCTCCCCCGACAGGGGGCCACGAAGCGAACCCCACCCTCCCCCTCAGAAATCGTGGGGGGCAGGGGTAGGGTTCGCATGTGACCCCCTCCCCCGAGCCAGCCTCCGCGTCGTCGCGCAGGTCCCGCAGCCCGCCCGCGCGCAGCGCCTCCGCGGCGCCGGCGCCAGCGCCCGCCCCCGCGCCGAGGGCGGCGGCGGCGCGCGCCGCCGCGCCCGGCGTCGCGGAGCGGCTCCTCGCGCGCGCGCGGGCGCCGGTGCGGGTCGGTAGGATCGAAGCGGGCACTGGCCATCGCTCGGACATCCATTCCCTGTGTTTTTGTCGGTTTCGTGCGTGGTTTTTTCGCCTTATGATCAAGGATGCTCCTCGATGGTCCTCGCCGAAGGAAAAATGCACACGTCCGAGCGATGCCAAGGGTACGGACAGCTCCTGGCGGCGCGCACAAAGGGGTAGGGTGAGGGGGAAGGCTTCGTAGGAGGAGGCTGCTTCTCAGAAGGCGCTGGCCCTGCGTCCACAGACGGAACCCGCCTTCTAAGCAGCGTGGGTGCTTCTAGGAAACCCTCCCCCCTGCCCCTACCCCCCCTGTACCCCCCTCTGCGCGTGGCTGAAACAGAACTGACTACCTACCAGACCACCCCGACCCAACCCGAAGACCCGCATTTCGTGTTGGGGGGGGGTAAGGGTTCCACATGTGTTTTTTCGATGTTTCCCGACCCCCCCACACTGGAAATCGAGGGTCAATCTGAGCCTTCAGGTTGGGTTGGGGTGGTTTGGTGGGTGGTGAAGAACGGGCACGATGGCTGACAGCAGCTCCTGTCCACTTTGGGCGGGGCTCGCTGCCCGTGCCGCCCGCCGCGGCGGCGGCGTTGCCCTCGGCCGCGGCAGCGCGCGCGAGCGAGAACGAAGGGGCCCCAGGACACACAAATAAATGCACACAAATAAAAATATTCCCTCTCTTTTCTCATATTTTCTGGGTTTCTGTCTTCCCCCCCACTGCCCATATGTTCCTATATTTTCCTGGGGCTCGGCGATTAATTGTGTCTGTATATTTTTCCCCCCCTGAGAGAAACGGCGGCGGCGCCCTCGGCCGCGGCCGCGCGCGCGAGCGAGAAACGGCTCCTGGGCGGCGAGGGCGACCACGGCCGCCGCCGCGCGGCGCACGGCGGCGGGGCCGGGGGGGGGGGCTCCAGGCCCGCGGCGGGCGCGGGCGAGGAGGCCCTGCGGTCGGCGGCGGGGGGGTTCGCCGGGCGCAGCGTCGTCGTCGTCGTCGCCGTCGTCGTCGTCGTCGTCGTCGTCGTCGCCGTCGTCGTCGTCGTCGCCGTCGCCGTCGTCGTCGCCGCCGTCGTCGTCGTCGTCGTCGTCGTCGTCGCCGTCGCCGTCGCCGTCGTCGTCGTCGTCGTCGTCGTCGTCGTCGTCGCCGTCTTCGTCGTCGTCGTCGTGTGTGAGGCTCTATTTGGATCGGTAGTGCAGCGAGCCCCTTTCTTTGTGGTATGACCGCCCCAGCGACAAGCTTCAAGTATGACCGCCCTGCGACAGCTTCCACAAGATAGCTCGTGGGATAGCTCGTGCCAAGATAGCTTGAGCCAGGAAAAAAGAAAAACGACAGAGCGAAAGGGGAAAAAGCATTCAAGATCAACTTCTGGGCTGCTTCAAATCAGCACGCGGCCAGACATACCCGGCAGGCCTGCTGTTGCCATGGAAATCCCGGAATATCGCAGAATAGCAAGCAAGAGCTGCTGCACGACGTGAACGGACCCTGCGGCGACGATCGGGTCATACCAATGGCAGAATGCAGCAAAAAAACGGGCGATTCAAATGGTGGTTCCGCGAACTGGAGACTGTGGCGTGAGAAAACCAAGGAGAGGAGAGAAGACGAGCGCCGAAAGAACTCGTCCAAGGCAGGGGAACCAATATAAAACACTTCTGTTAATAGCGCCAAATAAGCAATGTCTCGCAAGAGGGGCTGAATTAAAATGCAATGCGCGCCGATGACTGATGTCCAAAATACAGAAAAATCTACTAGAACGGCGTCTTGAGGGCTGAAGGAAAACAAGATGCGTGGGCGACGGCACGGGTCCGGCATTCAAAATAACTCAAGACGTGCGTCCTGTGAAAGGTGACTAATTCAATGTCCGTGTGGTAGCGACGATCCCACAAGACAGCATGCTCCACCATGCCTCAAGAAAACATTCCCAAGCACTGCTCGGAAAACGGTGCCCGACCATATCGCTCAAGCAAACATCTTCTTCGAAATGTGGGGATCTGTCTCGCCTGAGAAACGGCGGCCCCAGAACCGCGCTCGGGAACCCCAAACCGTATACTTCCAGTTACTTCCAGAGGGGCGCCCGTCCTACTCTGGACCCAGGGCCCCTGGTTCCAGGGGGCCTCCGCGGCCGCTGCCCCTGAAGAGTGATTCGTCGTGCACGCTCTAATGATTTCGATAGCGATTGCTTCGTAATGACAAAGTTGCGCACGCATTTCCTCCTCTCCATGCCCTCCAATCGTTCCTCATCCTCCTCCTTATCTTACGTTCTCCTCCATTTCCTCTACCTCCGTCCTCCGCCTCGCCTGCTCCTCATCCTCCTGCTCCTTCCTCCTCCTCCTC